GAGGCTGCGGTGGCCAGGAGCAGCTACTGCACTCCAGTCTGGGCGACAGAGTGAGACTCCAACTCAAAAACAAAACAAAACAAAACAAAAACACTGCCTATCTGCCGTATTTTTCTAGCAGTTCACTTTACCCTCTAATCACTAGCCAAAGACAAACTGGTTTTTCAACGGTAGCTTTTGATAATTATTTTACAGTCTCCTCCTCAGCTTGTTTTATAAACACGTTAACCTAATCAGCCCTTCTTGACCTTCATGACACAAACCCCATCACCATGGCAGCAGTCATGTGACTGGCCCATCTGTCGGCCTTCAGTCCATCACCTGATGTCAGTACCTGTGCTTACCTGCCCTTCGTGATGATGTGGAACAGACCACCACCCAGTCATCTTAATGATCTTCCCCCATCAAAGGGAAAGTTTAAAAGGATTGCACCTCGAGCAGCCATCGTCATTGCTTTGATGGCCATCACCATGTTTCCTAAGCTTTGGCCCTCTCCCCTACCTTGGGGAGGTGAATCTCTTCTCTTTCTCTTTCTCTCCCTCCCTCCCTCCCTTCCTCCTTCCCTTCTCTCTCTCCCTCTCTCTCTCTCTCTCTCTCTCTGTCTCACTCTCTCTGTCTCTCTCCCTCCTCCTCCTCCTTCTCCCCCCCCACCTTTCCCCATTTGCCATTGCTTTGCTAAGCTATGGTCTGGTCATGTGGCTCCTTGAGCTATGACTGCCGCCATGTTTCCTAGCTTTGATCACCCCTCCCCTACCTTGGGGAGGTGAATCTTCTCTCTCTTCTAATTTACTTTCTAAATAAACTCTATTTTCCAATCTAACTTCTGTGTGTTCTTTGCATCTTTCACGTGGCACCAGATCGCAGACCAGACATCCCTCATCGGGCCTGACCTAACATTTTGGAGGCCCCAATGGGATATTTTTAACCTAACAGGTTTGCTATTTAGGTTGACCTACCTCACATCTTATACAGAAATTAACTCAAAATGGATCACAGATCTAAATGAAAAACAAAAAACTTGAAAGAAAACTGAGAAAAAAATGTGGTATAATAAATTTATTTGGTCTTTGTCTTCTATTCTATTCCTGGCACAGGGCTCCTAAAACCCTTATAATTTCCTGAGAAATAGGAGTGTCTTTTGTTGTTCATAATGAGCCCATTTTGGTCGCACCTCAGTTTATGCTTAATGAGCCTCAGGATGGGGCTGGTTCCAGAAGGACCAAGTGATTATTGGATGGAATTTTCAGACCCACCCACCGACCTCCGGGAAGCTGGATATCAGGCTCTGTAAAAACCTCTAGAACAAGGAGATTCAAGGAGTTCCCAGATTGGTGAACACGCCAAGGTCCTGGGAGGATAGTGCTCCCAGGGAAAGGATGGAAACCATACCCCCACATACTCCCTGTCCTTTATATCTCTTTCATCTGGCTATTCCTGAGTTGTATCCTTTACAATAAACCAGTAAACATAAGTAAAGTGTTTCCCTAAGTTCTGTAAGATATTCTAGCAAACTGTAGAACACAAGAAGGGAGCTGTGGGCATCTCCAGTTTGTAGCCAGTAGGTCAGAAGTACAGAAGGCCCAGACTTAAAACTCATGTGAAGTAGGGGCAGTTTTGAGGGACTGAGCCCTAAATTT